TAACTGTTAAGAGAAATCAACATTTAATATGCAAGTACTTCATGCTCAATTGTAAGGGAAGGAATGGACCCACTGTTAGACAATTTAGCTCATGTCATATATTATTAAAAAGTAATGCTGTGTAAGATGCAAAGAAAGTACTATATCTAAAGATTATAGAAAAGAACAACATACAGTAGCTCTGTCAAATAGGCACTTTATAGCACATTGTATTTTACATATTTCGCATAGATTAGTAACATATTCCAAAACATTGTACTCAATATGGCAGACGTCTTCAACCATTTAGACTGGCAACATCTGTATGCTACAGATGAATCAAGCTAGTGATCTATGCAATGAAGAGAACACAGGTCCTTGGAGACAAAATAATACTTGGATTTTAGTCCATAACAATTTCTAGGTTACTTAATGTAACAAGTCACCTGTTTAATTGACCCCAATGGACCTGTTCTGGATCTTTAGAAACAGGGGTTTTAATGAAGCTGCTGAACTGGGTCTCTCCAGAACCATGATTGGAGATCTCTGGAATAATGATTTTGCGTTTCAGAGAAACCCTACATGTTACAGGTCCAGCTCAACATGAACTGAATGACAAACAACTGCAAAGTTGCCTGCAAGTGGCTTAGCGTCTAAATGAGTGCTTGATTTCATAAAGAGTTTCTGGGGATCTGGGGAAAAATTAATAACTTAAGAAAAAATAACAAATTTTGTTACACAGGGAGACAGAGTGATTCTCATGCTTGGTATGCAAAGTATAAAACATACATTTTCTTTTCCTTTAAGAAGGGTTTTGGAAAACAGAAATCAATACTAGATTCTAAGAAACTGCATCCTAGAATTTGGGCCTTCCTTTTCCACAGTGAATCTGACATCATGCGACTATTCCTCCAGACAGACATGAATTAATTACAGAAACCTCATTTCCTTCATTCTGACAAAATTAAAAAGCTATTCAGAGTCTAGATCATTAAAGGCACACCAGAAAAAAAAAACTTTGGAATAAAATGATAGTGTTATGAAATGAAACAATGTGAGATCATACAAAAAAATGATATCATTTTATTTTTCCAAGAGCTGAAGGGCACCATGATTAAATATTCCTACTGCAGCGCATTAAAAAAGGTGTATAACTTAGCACTTATAACCACATCACATATGGAAGCAAAAAGTTACTGTATGGCATAAAAGACAGAAAATTGAGTCTTTTACTTATGAGCAGTTTTGTTTCATTCAAGTAGCTTTCTTAAGTATCATTATAGTAGAAGTGTCCATTCTTCCTTTATCAGAAAGTCACTGATGCTGTTGCGGGATGAGTAGACTTGCCTCAGTGAAAGCACAGGGCACAAAGTGGGACTGTGAGCACAGTATTGCTCTCTCCCTGCACAAGACACTAGCCCACAGGAAAAAAGAACATTTAGACTGGCCAATCAATGTCTTCGGGAGATGGGAAGAAAGTGTAGCCAGGTGAATACCTGTATGAACGCAAGGGGAACATACAAACTCCATAAAGACAGGCACATGAGGCCAGAATCAACCTAGGACCCTGGGCACTTTGAGGCAACAGCACTAACCATCATGCTTCCATGCTCACCCCACAGAATCACTATACAAACTATTAAATAACTGCTAGGACAAACTACTAGTCTCTCCTTTCCCAGTAGTTTTTATAAGTCCAGTTCCCATTCCTGGAACACAGGTTATATTTTTGAACTAGTGAGGTATAAACATTGTTCAGGAAAATATACAATAAATAACAAAGAACTTTTATACAATTGACATGCCCTTAGCTTTGACTTGACAGCTCATGCTTAAGAGTTTAGATTATGAAAAACAACTGATCCTCAATCCATTATAGAGGAAAGGTTTTCAGCTTTCAGTTGTAAATTCATATTTGATTTTGTAACTGGGAAAACTAGACCAACATTTTGAAAAGCGTAGTACACCAAATAAACAGTGGGTTATCCAGCGTAACTGGGCCTCAGATGTCTAGAGACATCAAAAATGGAATGCAGGGTGTAGCTATTCCAAGGATTTAATGACACTGACAAAACAGTGTGATAATATGGAAGCTTTTGTCAGGGCAGGGCAAAGAACAGCACGACATCTGAGTCATAAAAATCAGTCTAGTAACCCTGGAGAACAGCCCAAGTATTAATAAACAAGCAATAAAACAAAAGTCTAAAAAAGGGGAGGAAGAAGTTAATTGCATTCAATATGTAATTTAGTTCACAGTAACAGATTGCAACTGCTTTTTTTTAAAGAAAGTTACATAAATGATGATGGTTATTATTAGATTTATTATTATTAAACAGATGGCACCTGAGATAAAAATCATCCAGTCTGCTGGTCACATGAGGACATGATTAGAAATGGCAGTAATCGGGCTATTCACCAAAAGTCCTGGGTTTTGAAGGTTTTGAAGGGGAAAAAATGGCAGAACTTCTGTTAAAGTTCTAACAGAGCAACTATTCTGCTGGAGAACAAAAAAAAAACACTTTGTTAACAGTCCACACAAGTCCTGGAAATCCAAAGTCAACAAACCAAAAACTACTTGAAGCTCAAGAAAAGGCAGCAGTGTTTCTTGACAGCAGCATCACCACCTTGTAGGCTGATCTCACCAGATCTCAGAAGCCAAACAAGGCTGGCCTTGGTCAGTACTGGCATGGGAGACATGTAATGGAAGCTACACTGCTG